TCGGGGCATCCAAATATTTTTATTCTTGTTGACACTCTTTTGGGAATACAGTCTGATAGATATATTAAATTAAGAAGTAAAGCAAAAAGACCATGCAAATCAACATTAGAAAAAGAAAAAATTTACGGGAGCAGACAAATAAATACATAAATAAACAAATTTGCAGATTTGATTTTTTAAAATCTGTATCATTTAAATTTTTACCGGCCAGCATATAATTATTAAAATTATTTTGTTATACATAACTATTATTATTTAAAAAAAAATTGTTTTATTGTACATAACTATTATTATTAAAAAAAAAATTAGTTTAAGCAAACACACATTTTTGGGAGACTACACAGCCAACCTTCACGTAGTGTCTCCTGGGTAACGCTAATAGGCTGAAGGGACTCAACTCGAATAACCTAACAATATCGGTCGGACTCAACTCCGATAACCCAAAAATATTTGCGGGACTCAATTCAACGTCAGCCTGCTTTATATACTTATACATATATATATAAATATAGATCCTTTGTCGATTGCAGTCCGTTTTTCTTCCATATATATATTATATTATTTCGGCCGCGGTGGTCATTAACATTCAACAATGCACCCTTCGTCCTTTGCTCCACATACACGCATGCATGTATAATATTGTATATAGTGCTTATATCTATGTTACGTGGTAACTATTAAATAATTGTCTATCACTACTGGTATACGGTGTGTAATTGTGTATCCTTAGTGATAGATCAGTACCAAACGGGGGAATGTGAGAGGATTTGGATGTTCGACAAGACAAGTATAGTTATACTGAGTATGATTTAACGTATATTTTAAAATGTAAAATAAAATGTAATATAAAATATTTTACTTTACCGATGACCTGGCAGCAACAATACACGGAGCAAGTGGTGAGATGAGACTAACTTCATTCGGCTGACGAATGTCAAGCAGGCCGAACCATTATTATAAATTTTATTAACTATACAAAATAGTTATACATATATATATAGCTTTACTCCGTGATATTACAGAATGGATAAAAGATGACACGCTTATCTATGATATATAATGTATAGTATATAATACTATACGTAAGATTATAATTATAAATATATGAAAACTGTAATGGTGTTCCACACCATTACACCTATATATGATATTATACTGAATGCTATGCGTGTATGCGTATCGTGGTATTGTATTGCCATCCTGCACACAATTATTATTATTATTATTATTATTATTATACATATAAAGCGAGCCGCGAGGTACCCATACGACAAAATTCTCATTCCCTCTGTATACATAAAATAATATTGTATATTATATTATATTGGCACACCGTGCTATACATAATACAAAAATATAATAAAGGTACGTACGAGAGTATAATATGTGTCGTTTTGTTATATGTTGTTATTAAAACGACATGTATACCTATGGAGCTTATAGTAATAGGTATAAAATAAGTAAATCCAAATTGTTGTTTATTTATTTAAGTTTAATATTATGTGAGTTCAGAGGATAATTTTTTTAATGGGTTATCTTTTAGAGGTCGTAGCCACTACAGCACAGATACTCCAGCCCCCTCAGTTGAGCTTATGTCGATAATCTATATCCATTGCTCATTATTATATTGATTATTTGCGGATTTTAGTTAAAAGTTAAAACTTATGAGGTAGGTATTAATATGACATAAATACACATACATGGATTATAACTATATGGTATCTGGCTGCAATCGAATAAAATAATAATATATTGGACCATAGTAATGAGATTTGTTTATTTAAATACCAAAGTTGTAAAAATAAACGACGGATATTCACTATGAAACCGGGCACACGAGAGGAAAGACGCTGGCTGTGTTACAAATCATCGGGGAATGTTAGTGGAACCGAAAAGGTGCTAAACCAGACATATTGTACCAAGGATGAATAGAGGACTATAGCGGCGGGCTGCTGGACCAGGTCAGCCATGTGGCTGATACCGGCGGGCCTTTGCAGTGACCAGGCTACGTTCTCGTTGGGACCTCGAAGATAACTTAGAGCAGTGTACTACAACAATGTGGCCGAACGCGAATCAGCCGGCGGAGTAGGAGGATGCGCGCTCAACGGCGATAAACATAAAACATGGCATGCAGCGGCACTTGCAGCAGCAGCCGCCGATAGAGGATCAGGATCAGCGGGGCGAGTTTATAGAAGAGACTACGCCGAAGGACCATGCACTAGAAATGCTGCCGCGTCCACTGGAAATCGACCCACCCGTCACCCGTGTTTGTTCTGTGCTTGCGAAAGCGGCCGGGTGAATCGGACGATAAAGCCAGGTTACAGATCGAAGTGCGTGTGCCGAGTGAGTTTCGGAACCGCAGAAATAGTGATATGATTGAGGAGGAACAAAATGACGGTGAAACTGAAGGGAATAAGAATTGACTTGGTAAATCCAAGGCAGTAAACTTATAGAAGCGTTACAACAAATGTAACGATTTTACCACAATACATGGTACCTAACAGAATATCTATATCATAAGTAAGTCCTATACAGTAGTATGGATTGAATTTTTAATGAGTGTTACAATATAGAATATAATATAAAAAAATGTCGAAGACTCGTGGAAAAATCAAAATTTTTAATTTCGTTTCATTATTTTCAGCACACAAATCTAACCTGCAAGTTTCCTGTAATATGCGCCAGCTGACAATCTCGAAGCCTAGTCACGTTTCTATTGAAGCTGCCACCTTCACACTTCTTATTCTTTAATCAGTTTCACAGTCACCAAGTTCCTCCAGTCACCATTTCCCGGTCCGGTGCACTCGAAACGCCTCTTAGATCTGCAGCCAAAAGCTTTCTAGTCCGAACCGCCCAGCTTACCACCCACAGAACGAACACAGGTCGGTTTCCAGTACGCGGCCACCGTTTTCGGTGGTCCTTCGGCAAAGGCCGATCTTTAGAAACGTCTGTATAGCTGATCCTGATCCTGGTCCTGTGGCTGCTGCCGCTGCGTGCCATAATTGCCGTCGAGCACCAACATCCTCTTGCTCCTTCGAAAGTGCTACCGGCTGAAGCTCAGTCGGTCGTGAACTGTAGTGCACTGTGTCGTATCGTCGTGGCCCGACGAGAACCACCCTGAACGCTCGGTCACCGCAGACTTCCTGGTCTGGCAGTCTCCGCAAATACTCTATTTTTGTCCTTGGTACAATAAATGTCTGAGAACATGGACATTCACAGATTTGAGCGCACCAGCGTATCTCCCCTCAAATATTTGTCCGGTTTCTTCTAGACGATTGTGGAAGAAAGTCAAACGCTAGAAGCTAAAAAATTAGATTGAAAATAAAGAAAATTGTATGATATTTATTAAGTATATTATTTTTTATTCTGTTCTAAAGTATAATAATATATGATTACAATGATAACAAAAAAAACTGTATAGAATAATATTTTTTATATTATTATTTTTTTTTTATTCATAATTTATAATATTAATACATGCAATCCAGCATAATCAGTTGAGTTATACCCGTATTACATTAAACCGGATTCCGCCACAAACAAAATACATCTATACATTTTTGAAAAAATTTTGATTTATTAATTTTTTTTAATAGCAAAACATCACATAGTACTCACAGATTTGGCACTCTTAATAACTATGTAGAATTGATTGTGTTATTTTAAAACTACCCAATAATTATATCCTTACAACTAATATATTCTACAACATCAAATCTGTTACATTTAGTTTGTAGCATCGTTAAGGTAAAACAACAATATGTTGGCGGAAAAAAATTCAAGAATAAATAAATTTTAATTATTATAACGATAGCGAAGAGTTTTGAAAGTGACGTTTTTACTTCATAGATATTAAAGCAGAGAGATTGAATTTTGACTGTCCAAACCGTGTACAAATTTTAATGTGAACGACGAACTATACGTTAATACAAAAAAACCCCCGAATTTGTTCACTTTTTTTTTCATATAGGTCTTATATTGATACTTGTAGAGTACTATTTGAACATAAATTTTACTTTCTGTTGAATTTTGCGTTTTAAATATTTCAGTGTCAACTTCAAATATGGTCTAGATAGTTTAAGGCATCGTTAAGTTATAGTTTTCCAGAAAAAAAATTAGATTACTTAATTAATCGTGGCATTTTAACCATTTCATCTACTAAGCTTAATACATTTTCGACATCTAAAAATACTTTGTGGAATTCTTCCTCACTATTTTCATGAACTGAATTAATAACTTGCACACTGTTATTGACATATTGACAACACTCAGATAAATCTACACTTATTTGTTGTAAAGATTTACTTAACTCTAATGGAAGTCCCGTTGGAATATTCCTTTCATTTAATTGTAAGTTGTTTATTACACATACATTATTTTGCAATATTTACATTATAGTTTCCATAAAACAAATAACTAATTACTGCATATAATAGTTTAAGTTCTCTGAAAAGTAACTCAAATAATACAAAATATTTTAATAATAATATGTGCAAATGTGCAATGTACATAATATTATTATATTAAAAATCAAATTGAATACCTAAAGGTTGATCATAATTTTATTCATCTAATAAAGTTTATATGATATATTTTAATATAAGTAAATAATAATAATAATTAAGAATATATTACTAATAGGTAATATATTTTTGACTGATTTTAGGTTTTATTAAAATCATAATGTCTTTTGGGTATAATTTATTATTAATTATAATATCAATAACATTTTTAACAATATAAAACTTTTAAAAATAAACAACTACTTTTAAGATAAAATAAATAGTAACTTTTAGTATAAAGAATAATCACCTTGATAAAATAAAACAAAATATTAAAATAACAAAATAAAAACAAATTGTACAGAAGTTACATCATTCATTTTCTTCATCAGATATTATAGGACAATTAATATCTATGTTTGATTTCAGGCTTTTATAAAAATTATGAAATGTTTCAGGTATAAATGCCAATAATGTCATAAGATCCTTCTTTTTTTCTTCAGTTATACATAACATATCATAGTATGCTCTTTCAATTTCCATTGAAGTTGCATTTTTCCTGTTTAAGTTCAATTTGAGGAATTTCTCATTTAAACCAAGGGAAGTCTTATTAGATACTATACCTTTTTCATTTTTAATGTACCGAATCCACTTAACATCTCAAAAAACAAATTTTTCTTTATTTTCATTGGTTTTCTTCATTTGATAAGATTTTTTCAATAATTTGTTGAAGTCAAAAAACATTTCTTGCACCATTTCTACTACCAAAAACTTATTTTTTCTTGCAAATCTATTTAATTGCATCCAATCATATGGATGACTAATAGATGAAGGAAATGTTTTCCAAGCTTTTTCAATTTTAGCGTGATCCGAGTCACACTCCATTCTTGAGCGGCCCGGCACCATAAATTTATGATCAATTGTTTCCTGTTGATCCAAAAAAAACAGACACATAGCCATGAGGATGCTATTTTTATTTTGCCCAGGGCAGCAATCACTGTACTTGGTTACATGAGTAATATTTTTTGGTAAATTAGATAAATAGTTGTATACACATGAACCAATTTCATTAGCCCCTCGTTTGGCTATAGTTTCATACCAAATATAGCATGTTGCTTTAGATGAGGCACAATTGTGCACAGTTAAGTTATAGGTCCACAATTGGCGTTTATAAAATGCAACAGAGCTTTCTAATGAGGGGGTCGGCAGACACTGTTGTAAATCCAATGACAAAGCACAATAGTTTGTGGACATAGTTGCTATGTCATTTCTTTTCGATTCATAGGCTTGCTCAGCTTCATTTTGATGTAGTATTTTATCTTCAATTATCTTATTCTTTTGATCGGTTGTTATAATATTATCAGTAAGCTTGATTTTATACTTGTCACACTGTGTACATGTATCATTCTTGGGGTTTTTAACTTTCAACCCTGCAGCTTTAAAATATTTTTCAAATAGTGTTCGACTAACTGGCTCTTCTACACTTATTTTGCATTCATCATAAGCTCGTTGCAATGTAAAGTGACTTGGTAAATACTTTTTAGAGGTCTCCTTTATACAATAATGACTCTTGTAACTAGGGAGTGAGTTAATATTGTTAATCAATAAATTAATACTATCTTGACAGCGTTTGTTTCCAGGTGGTGCACAACCTCTTTTATCTGGAGAGCATCGTTGTGCAGGTGAATTTAGCTTATTAGTACAAATATTTCTTAAAAACTTAGTTCTTTCACAAAATATTCTCATAAAACAACCTTTACATGCCTGTATTAAATCACCATCTCTTGGTACACAGTATTTATGTCTTTTCCTATGGTTTTTGTTTTTCTGGTGTATCCCTTCATTTTCTACAACTTTTCTTAGGATAACATGTAATAAGTTTAGACATATAAGAGGTTTGTCTATTAAAACTACCCATGGCCCAATACATGTTAAACAATTGCTCACGTAAATCATCTTGTATTTTACTTTTACATTTGGCTTTACAATCTAGAAGTATTTTAGATGCTCGGGGTTTGACTGTTTTCCCTGTATTAGTTGTATATTCCAAACCAGTATTTCTTTTTTGATTTCGATAAATTCTGAATTGTCTGGTAGCACCTTTCAACCTTACTCTAGACATTCTTTTATTTTGATGATTTGTATTTAGATGTACTTCAAAACTCCCAACTAATGATTCAGCTGTGCCCAAAATTACACTTGGTTCGCCATTGATGTCATCATTATCCTGTTTATATTAAAAAAATTTTTTTTTTTTTTATAAAAATATATAATATACAATTGAACATTATATGCATACCTGTTCCATAGCCGTTGGATTTTCAACAGACGATACAGGTGTTCCCAAAATAACACTTGATTTGCCATAAATGTCATCATGATTTTTCTATTATAGGTAATAGAAAAAAAAATGTTACATTAATTTTAATAAAAATGTTTTACTAGAAATATATTTACTTGTTTTGCGTTTTCTATAACGTTAAAAACATTCTCTTGATCATTAAAGTTATTATTTTCCACAGTAATTTGATTATAATTTTGGGTGTCATTGCTAAATTCAAGTGTGTAGTTGATGTTGTTTAATGTAATACAAGTTTCTTTTTTGCTATTATTATAAGCGCAACTAGTTACAGTACATTACCCTGTAAACACAAATACAAAAAATATTACTTTATTTCCTACTAGATTTGTTAAAGTTAATTCACTCTATAAAACAACGTATACATTATAATAGGTATACTATGAATAAAGCAATAAACTGCTTAAGAAATTACTTCAAAATTATGTTTTTCATTTGTAACATCAATGACATCATAAGATGGATAATCATTGTCTGGTTAGCCCATACAACGGATCTGATTTATTTACCCATTCCTAAGGATAAAAATACTTCTATTATTTAATAATTTGTCATACTACAGTTAATTAAATTAAAATCTTAAGTAGGTAAATCTATGTTGGTGGGTTTTTTTATTATGGTTACCTAAGTAATACATAATTAATTTAAAATAATATTAACTATAACACCATTTGTTTTCAACTGTTTTTAATAAACTAGGTAGGTATATACAATATATTTTGTTAAATTTACTACTTATGTTATGATATAACATTATTAGGTACTATTTTTACTAAGTAACATGAAACTATGTAAGCATGTCTAATAAATAAGTATACTCACTACTAAATAGTTTTTCAAATTATTGGCCTTATTGTTGTCTGTTTGCAAAAGAAATATATCACCTAAATTTCTGCAAACAGCCGGCTTTAGAAGTTTTCCATCCGTTGTGACGTTGACATCTGAATAAAATAAAAATTAAACATAAAATCATTAGAATTACACTTACTATTGCTCTAAATAAGTAACTTACTGTTTCGTGCCATCTGCAACATCGTCTTCATTCTATTCGACATTTTTAATTGCTATACTCATGTACACTTAAAGTTTTTAACCACATTAAATATCAACACATTGAAAAATAGAAAAAAATAGGTGACTTGAGACCTTTCTCAAACAAAAAATATTTATTTTTGAGTTTTTGACTTGACACTAAACGCGCGCTGTAATACATAATAAAAACACTGGTAAGTGGTAACATGTTAATGACAGTGTTACCACTAGATCTAGCTTAAAATTTCTTTCAATTTTCATGTAATATAATATCAAAATGTCCAAAAAGTGACTTTTCCACGGATTAATTTATTAATCCGTGCTTGATTCCCTTTTCACGAAGACCGTCCAACTCAATTTTCAATTTCAGCTATATAATTTTTTTTTTAATACAGGTATAAAATCACAGTTTTTTAATAATTTATCCATTATTTATGTGTCTATATCGTGTAACTAATGTACCTCCTACTACCTAATACATAAAATATATACAGATTTTAACAAGTAAATGCAATTTTTAACTTTTATATAACATATAAGTTTGAAAAAATTTACAACTGATATTAATATAAGTACGTTTTGGAAACTGCCTGTATAGCAAAAAATATTACGAATAATAGTTGTTGAACATATAATTTAAAGCGTTAAACCGTATTCAGCATTAATTGTTACATCTTAATGTTATTGGAAATGTATATCGCTTGGATCATGTGTTACTATATCAGCATGGTATTGTCATTGTTGGTATATAAAGGAGTATACATCTCTTGTCAATA